TAAGTGAAACTATTTTGTGAAATCAACTCTTCTCTGTAATTATTTTTTACTCGTTCTTTACCATCCCACTTCACCTTCGTGGTGGTAGGAAGAACGAGTATTGTTCTCAGTGCGGTGTCACGCTTTTCCTGTTCCTGTTTTCATCTCAGAACACACAACACCTACAGACATGACAAAATACCACTGTAGAGCGGGGACGCTGGTCTCAATAAAAGCAACGAACCTTTTTTCAGGTTTAATAGCATAATTTTGAGCACTCTTAACAAATTTTGCGTGTTTTCATTCTAAGTCCCAGACCAGGGCTTATTTGAGCATGTTGAAAAACGTAGTGTTAAGCAACGAAAATGTATCATGCATGCATCTTTGAACTTCTGAGATGTTAATGAAACTGTTTTATTAATATGTTTTCAGTCGCTACCGAAGCATTTTAACGAGTTTACTCAATAGATTCCTCCTAAAAAATTGCAAGTCCCGGGAGTACGTGAGGTTGTGGCGGCGCCATCCGTGCTGCCACCTGTGGACGGACATAGTAACTACTTCACAGTGAGCGCGTGCGCGTTTAAAATGTACCTTTTATCGTCACACACTTCTCCCCCATTACTCTGAGATAAAAGCACGAACTGATTTTGAAGAACTACCCTGGTTTGGTTAAAGAACGAGTTTCCTACTTAGCACAAAATTCATTTTGTGTTCATAGTTTCCCTTGTTTTTTTTATCTCTTACATCTCATTTTCAGTTTGACTGCCCTGAACATGCTACACTAGCTGTGGATCTCCCTAACGCTATTGAATATGACGACACTTTTCTAACACTTGAACATATCTATCATGAAGATGCACCAATAACACCTACTCCTGTATTAGATATTGATGAAATGAATGGAGGCCACAGTTCATGGAGTGGAATGCCTGAGGAATCGGTAGTGGAGGAGACTACTGTGGATAAATCTCAGGAAAAAGAGTCATTAGGTATGTCTTTGTATTCTCTTGGTGTATTGCTGTATGCCCATGCCTGAAAACTATTAGTAATATTACGCATGATTTTCTTTACAGCAACTGTATTGTGGGATGACAAGGGATATCCTGCTATTCCAGCTGGAATCGTGGCAAGGACTGATTGGCCAACATTTGAAACCCTGAAATTAATTGGTGAGGCAATGCTGAATTTCAAAGACAATCTGACGCACAGAAATACTCACTGTCAGAAGAAAGGGTATGTTGCACTAGGAAAATTCATGTACGAACGAAGATTGTATTACACAGCTAGAAATATGAAGGGTAGAATAAAAGGCCTGGTTACTACATATGAGAGTGATTCAGCAGACCCTTCCTGGGAGTACAGGGAGCTTATTGCCATGTATCTTGGTGAGAAACCTTTCGATGCCTCAGTGCTCACTGATATGTTGGCTAAGTATAAGCCGACAAGTGCACCTAAAAGAAGAAGCCTAGTTGAACAAAATAAAATAGCCTGTGGAGTGTGGAGTTGTAATTCTGGCAAACTGCAAATCAGAAGGTATGTGCACTTTCGACTCACAATAGAAATTCTTTTCAGTTTTACATTGTTTACTGTGACAATTGCATTCCTTTTGCAGAGCTTCCTCACCTGTTTGATGATAAGAATACCTTCATGCTTATTGCATCATATCATGCATTTAAAAGTTTATTTGATGATGACCTCCACCGTTCTGATGAAGTATATGCAGATATTAGTAAGAAGCTGAAAAAGTTTGGCTGCAATGCGTCAGCTGAAGACTGCTCAAAGCGTATGGTCTTCCTCGCCAAAAAATACAAAGAAATTGAGGATATGAGGCTCTTATGTTCTGGCACAGGAGATGTGACTAACTGGATATATTATGATGCCATGTCACAAATTTTTGAAAAAAGTAGGGTAATGAAACCTCAGAAATTGCTTGCTGCTGGTACTGCAAGCGTTTCTAAATCAAGAAATGATGATGATGAAGAAGAGGAAGAGGATCAAAACAATGATGGTTCCTCTTGTAGAGGAAGAAAGAAGAAAACAAAAAAGAAAACCAACTCTTATACTTCAGCTCTGCCTATTCAATCTTATAAGGAAAGAAAGTTGCAGCAGGGGAATGAACTTCGTACAATACTAGCAAATTTAGCCGAAAACATAATAGCTCAGTCAAAACAATAATTATTCTATTTTTTAATAATTTACTGAAGTATTACTTTTCTTTTAATTTTACTGTTTTTTTTTGTGATCAAACTTGTGAAATGTTACCTTACCTTAGTCAATTAGCTCTCTATGAGTCTCTCGTGAGACACACCTGAGTAGCATTAAGTGTTAGGATAAGTTTAAGAAAGAAAGTTCCTCAACAAGACTTTTATAAGTGCAACATTGTGAAAATTTATTATTACATAATTTTCAATTTATCTATTAAAGAATTTAAATAATTAAGTACATTTTCCTTATTAATCATCCCACACACTTATACACACTTTAGAGCTCAAGTCTGTTGCAGAGATCCCACCTTTTTTGATCACCCAACATTTACCTATCTTGAAGTTCAAGAAGTAAATTCCCCTGTGGCACATGAGGGTCACGAATCATATCATTTACACCTGGCTGGAAGTTCTCTGGATAGTTCGCCTCATCATCATCCTCCATGCAATCATCATTCATTCTTCTATTTCCCTGAAAAAGACAAGACATAGTTTTTTAAAATGGTACATTCATCCCTCACCACTGATATGTTCGTTAATTCAAGAATTATTTACAATATTCCATGCCTGCTAGTGAATTATATTGAAATTGTGTAACACTATGCTTGCCGCTATATGATCAACTGCATAATCAATATTTGTGTTAGGCAAATAGGTCATGCGTCTCCATAGGGAATCAATACGTCCAAAGGTATGTTCCACTCCAACTCTGACTTGGGACAATTTACGGTTGTAGTTCCTTTGACGAACAGTCAGGTGCCCATTGTTCTCAAATGGAACTAGGACCTAAAAGAGATTTCACAAGAGATAAAATGAATTGTACCCACCCCGAAGACAGCTGACAGAACATTCAGGGGAAAACTTACTCTGTCCAGCAGCATATAAGCTGCATCAGCAATTATATGCTCTCCATTGCTAAATTTGTCTTTGGAGAATGCTGCGGCACAAGGGGCTTCTCCTAAAAACACGGGCATCATGGAGACTGCCGACTTCTCCAATGTATGCATCCCTCACTAGTAAGGAGTCATCTACAACAGCCTGAACTTTAATAGAGTAGCCAAATTTATAGTTCCTGTATGCAGCTCTTTCCTCCTTTGGAGCTTTAATAAAAACATGAGAGCCATCCATAATTCCCACAATTCCTGGAAAGTTTGAAATGCGTTGGCAATTTCTTTTAATGGTGTTACGTTCTTCTGCATTTGGCCATGTAAGATAAGTATCTTTCATATCCCGCAGTACTCTGATGACAAGAACATAGTGATCATGAACCTCTGACTTAGAGACTCCAAATCGTAGTGCTACACTCCTGAAGGAATCAGGGGTAGCCAGGATCCACAACACCATAAGTAAAATGTGAGCAACAGGACGTCTCTCTCTTTCCATCAGCATGTTGTCCACCAGATGGTTTCCAATTTCTTGCAATAAGATCTGCAAAGAACACAAAGAAACTAAAATAGAATCACAACTGTTTCTTAATGATTTACTAGTGGAATCTCAGCATATTTGTTTTTACCTCTAATACAGGCTTGGTAAGCCTAAAATGCCACTGGAATGAGGGGTCGCCCATTACACAAAACTCGTTGATATCAACGGTTACGTGCTCCCATAGATTTTCATCGTCATCATCATCTACAAAACGAAAGGAAAAGTAATTTTCAACCGTACATACAAAGGCAGTAATAGCATTAGCTTCTCTTTTGCAGAATAATTACCATCTAGGAAGTCTTCTATCAAATATGCTACAATGCCTAGGAACGCACGTCCAACGATATTCCGTTGTGCCACGTCCATAGCTTTGTTAAACTGACTTCTTCTTATTGATTGATATGATTGCTATCCTCAGTTCTAATACGTTGGGTTTGAATGTTGGAATGTTTAGTTGTTTGTGTACATTTTATGGGTCAGCGCCTCATGGATGCATGCGAACGTCAGCTGTAGTGGATGCGGGAAACTGGGAGAAGTACTTCGAACTGGCCGTGGTCACGGAATTCGTCCTTCTTCCCTGTACTGTTCGAAATGACTGCTTTTTTGTGCGGAATAATATTCCTTGATCTTTCCCCTTTCCAAAAATGTAGGGGTCGACCTACTTCCGAGGAATATTAGGGGTACAGAAGCCGATTTCCCGATATCTGCGCTCTACGGAGCGAGCCCCCCCGCCCGACCGACCGCCCGACTCGCCGACCTACCGTTCCTTATCCGAACGCGCCCTTATGCTCAGCTCGCTGCAGCTCACAGCCCACTGTTGTAGCTGCGTAGTACGATCAGTACGATTTTTGCGCGTACCATTTTGAATGACACGGTGGTTGCATTGTTATTGTAACTGGGGAACTGAGCGGGGCGGAGGCAAGGCGGCGGTGGTGACCAGGGCGGAGCAGCTGCAGTGTCCGAGTTCACAGCGGTCCAGGAATGGCGGGAAAACGGGGGAGCTTAGAGCAGTGGCTGAAGTCGGCGCCGAAGCGGCCAGCTACCAACCTGCCGGGAGGGGCCGGCCGAGGCCGCAGCTCAGCGAGTACCAGCTCCTCCGTGGGCCTGCCTGCACCCGGCACCCGGCACTGCTCGGGCACCGGCCGGACGCGGCAGAGGGCGCAAATCATTAGAAGCGATGTTCGAAAACATTGAAGTGAGCAATCGTGAACTGGCTGTCGAGTTATTGCCCACCATTTCCGCTACACCGGTGTTATACTTCACTGGTGCGTAGCGTCGACTTGAGGAGCGCGTCGATGACCCCGGCCCTGCCACGTCCCTACTTGTGGCCACAAAATTGTGGCCACAAACCCGGCGGCCAGAGTCAGCTTAATCTGACCCGACTATAGAACACCCCTTTTCGGGTAATATGAAATCCAAAGCCTTCAGGGTGTAATCAGAAGGTAATAACATGCTCTGCACATAGTCCGTAACGAGCCGAAAGGCCCCGGATG